GCGGCCGGGATCAGGGTCCTTCCCAAGAGGCTGCTGTGTCCACCTTGGCTGTGCAGGGAACCTGTTCAGCTGGGAGACTCTCTCTTCTTTCCCTACATTTGTCTTCAAATACAGAATGCCCACGTCCAGGTTCTTGCAAGACATCATGTTATTTAAACAGGACAATAACACTGCCAGGGTAAATCTTTTTGTCCCCATTTTATGGATGAGGAAAGTGAGGCTTAGAAAGGTTACTTACCCTACCCGAGGTTATAAAGTAACCAGTAGAGTCATGATTTGATGCCAGATCTGTCTGATTTTTCAAAAAGAACACAAAGACAGCAAATTATTTATTTTAACTCTAGAGAGAATGTTCAGGCTCTTGGAATCACTTATAGGCAGAAGTCAGATGTTACAGGGGAAACTGGGAAAGTAGGAAACCTAAAAACGGTCACTTCAAGCAAATCACTTAAACCAATTTCCTTGTTTGAAAAGGAGGACTTGCCCACAGCGCTGTAGTTCAGCTCTCCTGCCAGCCACAGCAGGGGCGTCTGTCCTTGTAGGCCAGTTCCTCTGCCATGGCAGTTGTTAAATATTCTATATATTGCCCCTTGTCCCACACCTGCTCCCCTTGGGTGTGAAGGTTAAATGAGACCCCAGCAAACACCGAGTGTAAGGAGAATGCGTACTCGCAGGCACGCAGGGCGGCCTCATGGGCCTGCAACCTGTGTAGTCGCAGAGGGCCTGAGCTTACTTTAGTGCTTTGCTGTCTCATCTTGTTATCCTTAATACGTTTTGAACAGGGGACCTCACGTTTTCATTTTGCACTGGGTTACGTGGACACAAGTTACGTAGCCGATCTGTCCAGGCAGTGGCTGTCATAACTCAGGGAAATAATGTAACGCCTCCAATCAAATTCCAGGGGACTGAGAATACATGATGATGATGTTCTGGCTGAAGTCACTTGAGTGCTGGCTCACCTGTCTCCTGGCTGTTAAGGGGAAGGCACTGTGCCTGGGGAAGTGGCTCTGGCCTATATATGGCCGGGATGGCGTATGAACAGCATCAGGTGAAAAAGTCTGAAGAATGCAGTCACTCCTCTCAACAAGAGAATTTGCCCAGCGTGTGCTCTGTGCCCAGCCTTGTGCCTGTTGCCATGGAGAAGCACAAAGTGCCACATTCCACCACCATCCTCAGGGAGCTCCCAGCTGGATGGGAGGGTGGGACACACATCTCTCCAGGATACCCTTGCAATTAGCCTCAAGTGGGGCACAGATTTATGGTCCAGAAGCTCAGAGACAGGATTCAGAAAGGGATCGCTGGGGGCTGGGCTGTCGGGTAAAGCTTCGGGTCAAGGTAGGACTCGGACAGGGTCTTTAATAATGCCTGTAACTTGGCAAGGGGAGGAATGAAACCCTCAGGCCTGGCTGTGGATCGGCCACATGCTCCCTCCCATCAGGGCTTGCTTTTAAATGGAGCATGTAGACTGGAGTTAGGGAGTGTTGCAGGGTGGGCTCTCTGGAAACAGGTCCTAATTTGGGTTTGGGGTGTATTAGTGTCCTGGGGGTGTTATAACAAAGTGCTGCAAAGTGCACGGCTTGAAACAATAGAAATTTATTTTCTCACAGTTTTGGAAGCCGCGAATCCAAAGCCAGTCTCACTGGGCTGCAATCAAGGTGTCGGCAGGACCACATTCCTTCCGGAGGCTCTGGAGGAGAATCCGTTCCCTGCCCCTTCCAGCTTCTGGTGGCTGCTGGCATTCTTTGGCTTGTGGCCACATCACCCCAATCTCTGCCTTCATCTTCACATGGCCTCCTCTTCTTCTGTCTCAAAACTCCCTCTGCCTCTTGCTTATAAGGACACATGTGGTGGCATTTAGGACCCACCTGGATAATCCAGGATAATCTCCTTTCAAGATCCTTCACTTCATCACACCTTTTGTCAGTCACCAGTTCTGGGGATTAGGACGTGGACAGATCTTTCTGGGGGCCACCACTCAGCCCACAACAGGATACGAGATGTTTAACAGGGGTCAACATCTGTGAGAAGGATGCAGAGGAAGCAGGACGGGCAGGAGGAAAGGAGACTGTGATGTAGGCCCACCGGAGTCCTGACCAGCTCGGCCTTCCCGCCTCGCTATGCCTGGTCACTGGCTGTGGATGTGCCCTAGGAAGGGTGTGACCTCGTGTGAAGCCGCTCTGTGTGGCCGAGGCAGAGCTGAGATGCCTGCCCGGCACACTCCCGCGCTGGGAAGAGAGCTGCTCCCGAAGGGTGTTCTGGGCAGCTCCGCTCTGTGTCCCCCACAGGGAGAGAGTGGGAGAGAGGGTCAGCAGATGGCTGGCGGGGGAGGGTCCCCTGAAGGCAGAGCCTGAGTGGCGACACTTGGTCTTCAGGCATGCAGACAAGAACACCATATCTGTTCTGTCATGGACGTATATGAGAAGAGGGACTCTGCGACCTCTTGAACCTGGGCAAAGCCACCAGCTGGGGAACCATTTCTAGGCCATTCCTCAGGAGACGTAGACCCTGTGCTGCAGATGTGAACACAGCTGCACACATACAGAGTCGTATTCTGATTTATACTAAAGACAAATCTCCCAACAGCACCTGGGGGCGTTTGGGTGGTTTGTTCTTTGCTCTCTCCTGGGACTTGGTCAGACAGGGCACAGGACTCTCTCCCCTGATTCAGGAGGGGCCTGGGGCTGCAGTTCCTGTTTGGACTCAGCAGCTCTAGGGGGTGACATGATGGTTTTGAAGGGACATTCCTCAGAGTCTCAGGTGACTGGTCTGGAGGAGAAAAGGGGACAGATGTGGCCATGTGGTGAAGGAGTTCAAGCATTACCTCAGACCACGTGCTGGCCCCACACAGGGACTATTTCTGGATTCCCTGGGGACTTCATTCAAAGTCCCTCATTGCATGGAAGCATTTTGCAGTGGAAAGACATGTGACCCCAGAGAGATGGGCTGGAGCCTGGCTCGTGCATCGGAGAGTCTCTGTGGCAGCCCTTATTCCTCTGTGGAACCCTGGAGGGTCTGGAGGCCGCAGCCTCTTTCCCGGGCTCTGGTCAGGAGGCCGGCTGGGGGGCGGGACCGTGAATGTGCGGTGGGAAGGGTGGTCTGTCTTCACCCTCCAAAACAAGCCAGGAGGCAGCCATTTCAAAGGTTCTCAGGCAACCCAAGCCTGGTCTTCCATAAGCCTGGCCTGTCATCCTCACTGTCATGGTTACCCTGGGACAGTGCAAGGAGCAATCCAAAGGCAAACCCAAAAGGCAACCTAGTACACCACAAAATAGGACTTTCTTGAGTCAATTTTTAAATGTGAGTGAAGGGACCAGAATTGCATAGTACAGGGTGAGAGTCAGAGGCTGAAGGGAAAGGCAAGAGGAGCATGGGCTGGTAGCAGGAGTTCTGGAACTATTCTGGCAAATCACTCTTCCTCCCTGGACCTCAGTTTCCCCACCTGCACAGTGAGCCCTGTTAAGCCAGGTGTTGTGACTTTAAGGTGGTGACTCAGAGGTAGAAAAGAGGAGGTAGACTGAGAGGCCCCTGAGGATAGAGGGCTGCCGGGGAGGCTGGGCAAAGGTCCACAAGGGCCCCCCACTAATGTTTGAGGGGCCGGGACAAGAGCATACATGGAGGCCCCCATACCATGTGGCTAAATACTTAAAAGGTATGAAGCAAACTAACAAACTGTCGAGTAAAATATATTCCATTGGCTGACCTTGGAAAAAAATTTTTTATAATGACCTGTAAGGCCAAGTTTGCATGAAAACTCTGGGACTCCTTAGAGTCTGCACTGGAGCATGCAGTGTAGAGAAAGCTGGCCAGGTGCCCAGCTGTAGCTACTAGAATGTTCTCCTCCTCAGACTTCCTGCTCTATAGGGATGGAATTGATCCAGCTGCTGTGCTCTGAAATCTATCTCTGCAGGTGGGCCGAGGCCAGGCTTCCCAGGAGCTCTTGCTCCTAAGTGCAGCAGGGGGGCTACTGGGGGTCCATTCACGGCTGGCTTTGCCTCGAGGACAGCCTGATGGCCTTTTGAATTTCTCTCCCAGCCTTCTCTGGCTCCCTTCCTCTTTCCTTTCGCATGGCGTTTCCCCTAATAAAATAATCACTCATTTAGTGTGTACTTCGAGAACATGCTTTGTAGCCACCTGGGCTGGGGGTGGTGAGAATGTGTCCCAAGCCCCTCACAACTCTGTCTTCTTCCACCCTCAGGAGAGTCTGGTGACCAGAGGAAACTGAGGCTACAAGGCACCAAGCCAGTGTCCACACCTGGGTCTTCTGATGCCTACCCTTGGGCTCTGCCGGGATGTCCCAGCCAGCGGGAGCAATCATGCCATATCACACAGCTCCCCTCTGGTAGTTCCCATGTTCCTCAGTCCCTGGGGAAGGAAAATGCTTTTCTCTTAATGTTTAAAATGGAGCTGCTGCTTCCAACCTTGCAGCAACCTGACTAGGGGAACGGAGAGCCAAGCTTGTCGTCCCCTGAGGCCAGTCAGCTCCAGCCCCCTCAGAACTTATCATTATATTTGCAGTCCGGGTAGCGGTAGGCAAATCTGGGATCACAGGTTCGCAGGGGCCTCAAGATGTCCTTCAGCCTGCTGGCGGCCCTGAGGACCTCGGGGTCTGGGCGGACGTCATCCCCACACTGAGCGAGAGCAGAGTTTATCTCCTCTTGCACCGGGGAGGGGAACCTCCCCTGGAGAAGTCGAGGCAGCAACTGCCGACACACCAGCACCAGGCTCTGCTTCTCAGGGATGGAGTCGCAGGAGGGCAGCTGGGCCTGGCAGCCAGACACAAGGCAGCTAAAGATGTCTTTATTCTCTCCTGCCCTGGAGGCTGCCTGGCTGCCTAGAAGAGAAATGGAAAATATTACACACTCTACAGCCTGTTCGCCTTGGGGGAGGGCGCCACTAATTAGTATTGCTGGGTGAAGTAGTTTAGTCTCCTAGCATTTTCCCATCACTAGGAGATTTAGGGCTCAGGGACACAATGGCCCCTTCTGAGAACAACACGGGAGGATTCTCCTTGTTACAATAGGTTGAGACCTGGGCATGGAAAACCCACTTGTCCCTAGCAGAAGCTGGGTTTATCATGGTATGAATCACATACATATTGTTATTCTCCCATTAGTACTGAATTAGGGAAGTCAGGAAATTATCAGGACTGGTTTCATTTGACCTCTTTAAAAAGTCAGGAGAAAGAAACGATAATTCAGGATATAGATTCAATAGGTTGTAGTGCAAGTGATCTTCAATGATTTACTTATCCCAAATATTCTGGAATCAGCCTCACTTCTTCTAATTTAATTCTTTTTAATAAAGGCAAATCAGGAAATGAGTAAGTGTGGCTTAATTTGTCTATCTTGTAGGCCTTCTTATATAAACAAAATCAGAAATCAGAAAAGAAAATCCTTTGTTCTATTATTGGGCTCAGAAAATTTGGTCACCATTAGAGATTGGGATATTCAAAGGTTCTGGAACTCTGGATGAGCCTTTCCACATGGTGAGAAACATGATTCACTCCTACACTTCATTTGGTTCCATGCTTTTTAATTTGAAAACTTTATAAAAAGCTAACGTGCCAAAATGGATTGCAAAATGTACCAGTGAATCAGCCAGATATCTACGTTTTAAACAAAAGCTAAAAGCATCTGACAAGAAAGGCTCGGAGGGAAGATGGAGCCGAGATTTGCATGTGTGAGGAGGGGCAGGGCAGGTCCCCGGGCCACACAGCCCAGATTGGACAATAGCATTGACCTGGGAGGGTGCAGTCAGGGCCGTGTCACAATGCCCCTCGTGAGCAAGGTCAAGTCCATTTCCCCTTTGGAGATGGGATTGGAGCAGAAATTCGAAGGGGGGTGAGGGGCATTTTACATGACAGCTAACATCCCCCGAACTTGGATTGCTCTCACTGTGACACCTGGAGACTGGAAACGCCTGATAGTGTGACCCCCGGACACCCCTCCCTAGCTCCTGTCACCCTGACTTCCCCTCTGACAGCTGCTCAGCCAGGACCCCACTGGGTACCTTCCTGCTTGTCGATGACTCCCAGTGCGCTGGCATCCCGGATGAACAGATGCCCGTTGTTAAAGATGCCAAACATGCCTGCGTCGACGTGGGTGAAGTAAAAGAAATAGTTCAAATCGTTGCTCCTCAGAGACTCCAGGACGCCAAGGAGCTGGTAGGCGAGGTCGGCTGCCTGGTCTGCGGCTGCGCCGTAGAACTCCTGCAGCGGTCTGGTGCTGGTGCTGACGAGGACCCTGCCACAGGAGCCCAGGTACTTGGGCAGTGGCCATCCCTCGGCCCCAGGGAAGATCTGCCAAGCCGGAAGGAGGAGGCATCAGAGGATTAAAGAGAAAAACCTCATGGAGACAGCTCTCTCTCTGCCTCCCACCGGTGTCTTCGGTCTCAAAGCATGCCAGTGTCTCTCCACCTTTTTTATACCTTTTGGAACATGGCAATCCCCCCGTCCCTCCCCTCCCCCACTTTTTAAATTCTATTGTTGATGGAAAGGTTTGGAAAAGGAAGCTGCTCTCGTTTCCGTGCAGCAGACTAGATTTCAAGAGTTGAGTAGTTGAAAAAATATGACTAGTCTTTGAGATTTCACAGATATCTTAGGAAGAGGCTATGGGAAAAATCATAGGGGGTCAATTTAAGGCTGATTTCAGGAAAAATATTTTAAAAAATAACAGTACAGGTACCTGGTTCTGGGATAGGGCAAAAATCAGGAAGGTGGCTCTTGGGTGACTCAAGTTTTGGGACCCACTGCACCAGCCTTAAGTCTCTCTCCTGCCAGCTGTGGGTGAATCTGCCTGGCTGGGGTAGCTATATACTCACAGATGCTCCCCAACAGACTGGAACTTTCCACACGGCCTAACACTGGCCCAGGGAAGCGCACAGCCCCGGCCTGTCTCCTCTGTCTCCTTGTGAGAGCTGCAAACTCGTGAATTTGTGCAATGAAAAAGTGGGGAGGGAATCCTGGTTGGCCTTTTCTTGACTATTGAAGCAGCTGTATCTAGAATGGTGTTTCTTTAAACTATGACGGAAATGTCAGAAACTATAAATACTCAGCACTTTCCCCTTGTTTTCCCCCCCAAAACCGAAGTCCTCCCCCTCTCTGATAGTCTGTGACCTTCTGCCCTTTTTAACTCACCAGCCCCTATTGCGAAGAACCCCTGCCGAGAGGGGACCGTTCCCACCATGTGCCTCGGAGGGAGGTCCTGAGCCTGCTGTCCCTGTCTACAAGTGTGGCCACGCAGCCATTCCCAGTTCCATGCCACACCCTTCCCTGGCAGAGCCCAGCGTTGAGTGGAGGGTCCTCACCCCATGGTCCCAGCCCAGGCCTCTCAGGAGCCAGGCCTGGGAGTAGCCACGGCCTGCTGCCACCACCAACAACCAGTGAGTCCTTGGCCTCCTCTAGTATCTAAAACGCCATGGTACTAGGCAGGTTTTCACAGAGAGGGCATGGCTTCTGAAGTCTGACAGCTCTGGGTTTGGGTTCCATCCCTGACACGAGCTAAGTGACCTTGGTCAAGTCACTTCACATCTCTGAGCTCCACTTAACCTCATCTGAAAAGGGGGGGCAATAATAATATTCCCAGGGGGTTGTTCTGAGCATTAAATGAGATAAAGACGTCTCGCATTGACACAATGCCTGGCACACAGCAGGTGCTCAATAAAGGAGGGACGCTGGTGTTCTGGTCAATATTTACTAACCGTCCTTTGCAGTGGCTTCTTTCTCCTCTACCTGCACCCTCTCTCCCTCCTCTCCCTCCTCTTTCTTCTCCTTTCCCTGCTCCTCCTCCTCACTTCCTAGTTTCTTTGGGATCTGTTATGTGACCTCTGTGTCCTGACCCTTGGGTCAGGGGGGACTTGGTGTGATTGGGCTTACGGTGTTCCATGGATGTTTGTTTACACGCTAAGTGCCTGTCCACTTAACACTGGATTGGAAACTGCAGAAAGGCAGGGGCCACCATGCCTGTCTTGGTGACCAGTGTATCCCCAGGCCCCAATGCAACTGCATTTATTTGACCATTCCCCTAATGAGAGACATTTAGGTTATTTCCATGGCTTTCTTCACTTCGAGCACAGCTGCAGGGCACATCTCTGGGTGGGCCACTCTTTGGCTATTTCCCTGCTTTGTGAGCTTGCTCAAATCTTACAGATCTTTGAGGCACAGGTCAAAGTTGTCCTCCTTCACGAAGCACTTCAGGGCTGCTGCAAAGGTGGCTCCTGCCGTCCCCTCCCCCGCAGCCTGGCTCCCACACCTCTGTTCTACAGCAGCGGCAGCACTTTCACACTACAGATGCCAACAAATACTGAATGCCACAAAGGTACTAACACAGGCTGGTGGCCCTAAAGCGTGCAGGAAAGTGGGGGCGAGCTCAACCCAGGGCGGCCCCGGAAGGCCCAGTTTGACCCTTAGCCTGCAGGGCTTGCGGGGACCTCTGCGTACCTGCAGGAGGATGGGGTGCGTGTTGACAGCCAGCGTGTAGAGCAGGCGCAGCTTGTCGCGGTCGGTGAAGTGGTCCATGAAGATGCTGCCGGCGTCGGCCACCTCAGCATAACGTCGGACCACGCGGTCCAGCAGTCGCTGCGATGGGCAGCGCAGGAGGGGGCTGGGCAGGCCCTGTGGGCAAGTGGGAGAGACCCCAGGACGGGGAAGGCTGCTGAGCGCTCGTTGGCCCTGCTGCTGGGGGACAGCTTGGGGTTGGAGTGCGTGGGGGAGAGGGGTGGTGGTGGGGTGGGGCTGAGGCCCAGGGATCAGAAAAGGGACTGAGCCCTCCTAGGCGGCGGGGTAGAGGGGCACTGGGCAGGTGGGTTGAGGGGGGGAAGAGGCGGGAAGGTGACTGTCCTCCCCCCAGCCGCTGAGCAGGTGGCACCACCGTCGCACCCCCCACCCCCCTTCCAAAGAGAGCTGATCCCAGGCTGAATCCGTCAGGTCGGCCCCCTGCGATCGGCCCTTTCGATTCCTTCTGTTATTTCACTGCGGTATCACCACAACCATGACGCTGCACATGAGCATCTTCCTATGTGCCGCTTTGCTCTTCTTGGGATAAAACTTGGAGATAGGGACCTAGGCCTATTTTCCATGACCTCCCAGCCCTTCCCTAGCCTTTCTCCTCATGCTGAACAAAGAAGACAAGCAGCCTACTCACAGACGGAATGCTACAGAGCTAAGAGCAGGGCCCTGGGGCCAGTCTGCCCGGATTCAACCCTGCGTCCACGACTGCCTGCTGTGTGACCTCGGACAAGTTACTCAGTCTCTCTGTACCTCAGGTTCCAGTCTAAAGTGAGGATGACTGCAGTAGCACCTAAGAGGTCGTGAGGAGCAAATAAGTCAATAGATGTAAACCTGCATGCGGTAGCTTGTTTAATCCTCCCAGACACCTCATCCGGTAGGTGCTATTATCAGCCGCATTTTGCAACTGAGGAATTGGAAGTTTGCAGAGTGTAGGTCATGGTTAGAAGGGTTGGATTTGGGGGGCCGGCCTGGTGGCGCACTGCTACAGTGCGCCGCTTGGGAGCGTGGCGGCGCTCCCGCCTAGGGTTTGGATCCCACATGCAGACCGGCCGCTCACTGGCTGAGCGAGGGGCGGGAGCAACACCGAGGGTTGCGATCCCGTTGCCGGTCCCGGTCCGGTACGGGCGCGACACTGAGGGTTGCGATCTGTTGCCGGTCACGAAAAAAAAAAAAAAAAAAAAAAAAGGGG